CATTTATAAATAAAAATATTGGAAAAAAATATATTTACAAAACTTTTTCCTCCGTCACTTTCAATGTGGTTTACTACATTCAAACAATACTGTCTGGCTGGCCTATTATGCTCTCTGCTTATCATACTAAAAGGAACACATGCATCCCCCCAGAGCACTTACAGGTTCACATTCAAGACCATTCGCACCTGTCCCTGAACAATGCAACAGGCATTGGATCGTTAAATTCATGGGCTAAAGAGATACTGTTGGTCCACTGATCCCAATTAAGGTGATAAAAACCTTTGGATGATGGCAAATACATTCAGTTTCTTATTTTCATTTTCAAGACCATATCACATTACATACAATAACAGAAGGATGGCACACGGCGTGGCCAAAGTACAACCAATGTTACTCAAACAGAGGAAGAACGTTCTTTAGACAAAACACCCAGTTAACAGATGACTTTAGATGGACGGTTCAAATAATACTTTGGCTAATACCTTTCTCTGGAAGTCATTAAGCTTCATTCTGACATTCAAACTGAATATGAAACTCATGTCCCACACCATCATCATCATCGTCATCACCATCACAGAGGTTACAGATCCTCTGGTTTCTGTCCAGCCCGTCACATCTTCACTGACTTCAGGACTTCTGGTGTTATTTACTCTAAAGTTACAAACAGCCTTTTTTGTTTTCATGCCACAGATCCTTCTCCAGTTTAAACTCTCGTTTAAATATATATTATATACCACATGATGTCACACTGCTGAGCTCACTTTACCACTTTTGTATTAGCCTCTGTTCATCAGTTAGTTTGAACCAGCTGATGTTGTTACACTTTGGTGTAGTGATGGGCAAAGCAGTTCTTTAGATGTTACTGAATCACTAAAGGAACACATGCATCCCCCCAGAGCACTTACAGGTTCACATTCAAGACCATTCGCACCTGTCCCTGAACAATGCAACAGGCATCCCCCCAACAAATCCAGAACATTCAGAACCCGTTTTTCTATCTCCTAATGCTACAAACTGCTGCTTGGGCAACACTGAGAAAAATAGCTCAGGATCATTTAGAAGTTAAAAAACAAACAAAAAACTACAAAGATACAGGGAGTTTCAAATACTGCTATAGATGTTGGAGTTTCAAATACCCCATACAATTTATTCATGTGTTTAATTATGGTCTAAGCTAAACTAAGTAAAAATTTAACAGAAAAGCACATTTAGAGCTTCGTTACAATGAATCATCTAATACTTTAAATTTCTACTACATTTTTTTTCAATTTGTGACCATGTGAGAAGTGCAGTGACCTTATGTAATGTGTAAAGGAGCACAGGCTATTTTGACTACCACACTGACCCAACATTGTAGAATTACAACATAGACATAACAAGCTATAAATCAAATTTGATGAATGTTTTCCAAAATAACTAAATATGTACATGTTCTAGACATTGTAATAAACACAAAAAAATATTTAAGGAATTTTACTTACTTTAATCCTGACAAATCCAGTCATGCAAAAAAAGGAGATGAGCTCAACGGGAAGTTTGCAGGTAGAGTGAGTTCATGGCCAGATGACCAGACCTATAAACACTTGTTCTATCCAATAGCATTGTGAGGACAAACAATAGGACCATTAACTATGTAAATGTGGTCTTGAGAAAAAAAAAAACATTTGCAGGCCTTTTTTTAGAATTGTTAAAAGTGATGTTGTAAATTTGCAACAGTGGGTTTTACAGGGTTAATGAAGTTTCTCATTATTTTAATGAAGTTTCTCATTATTTTGAGATACTTAGTCATTGTAATGATGACTCAGGATCTTTTTCCATCACACTGGCAGAACTAGGCGTCCATAGCTAAGTTATAGCAAACCTGTCAGCAAACATATTACTGACACACCCAGCAGTTACAAAGCAACACTTTCCATGTGGAGTTGTGTTTTGACCAGTCGGTGAGTTCAGGCTCTAGTGTCCACTCTTTTCTCTCTCTTTTAGCTCTGTTTTTGGTCTCAACTCCTTAGAGCAGGGGTCTGTTAGCTCAAAGAGAGATAGAGTAGGAAACCCCTACTACATATATTGTATAAAACTCAGTTGTACCTGAGATAACTAAAAGATTTCATGTCTTCTCTAATTTGCATTTGCCTGTAGCTGCTAACTCAACAGCAGTTGTAGCATGGCTAGGTGCGTTAGCTTACTTGCACCGCTTGTTTCTGAGGTGGACGGTGTGTCAGAATCTGTTGCTTGAAGAGGCACAAAACAATTCATAATAGCCCTCAAGAATGTCCGTACGCGTGACATAAAACAGTTAATTAGCCAATATGTAAAAAGGGGGCCGCACAGTCATTTAGCATTTAGCATTTAGCTAGCTCACATGATATGGACTCATGACTAACAGTCTATTATTAATATTGAGTACTGTTGATTCAACGGGTTTCATTAATAGGCCAGTTTTTCTTTTCTAATAATATGTTGGAGCATGTTAATGTTTATTTTCAGACACATTTTAATTTCTGTTAGAAATTTTTTAAAAAAAATTTAAATTGGTACTCAAATTTTAGAGGTAATTTGGCGGCCCCTGTGCGGCAACTCTGTGGACCCCCAGTTGAAGACTCAGGCCTTCGAGACATACCTTGTTCTTTAGCTGCTTAATGCTCCGCTGTGTTCTAGTCTTTTACTGGTAGCAGGTAGCATACAGCAGGTTTTTGGAAGTTCTCTGAAAACAGTGGCATGCTGCGGCTGAAACCAACACCTTGAGACCTGTGAGACTGGAACCAAACCTGTAAAGCTGTGGGTTAGATGGCTAAACAATCAGCTAAAACTCAGTACAAAGTGCATGATGTCAGCAATGTCAGCAATCAACACATGCTTCGTCACAGACCAGACTGTTGTCAGTGTAGACAGGTGTTTTCTATTGACCTGGCTGATTAAACCTCAGGTTGACAGTGGGTGAAGCTGTACTGGAAAATAAGTATTGTCTTTTTTCACTGGAGATATTTTGACACTTTGAAGAAATATAAAATAAGTGATGGATGAATTCAATTTAGCTACTTCAGTTTTAGGGTCCTGGTGTTGTTTGTGCAGGCTCACTGTCAGAACAGGACAGAGCCATTATTAATGTTACTAGTAACACCTGTGCTTTTCCTGCTATTAGAAAAAATACCCATGTTGAAAGTGTAATTTGTCCTGCTCAGCAAAGCTAACTTGAGAGTTTGGGAGATGTTAGTCAACCAAAAGAGATCTAATCAGCTGGTCAATTAAAATCGCCTGTGCAGGTCTACCATGGTTGTGCAGTGCATGGCCTTTTAAAGCACTAGAGATTAAATATGGTTTGATATCTCAGAGAAGTCAATAAAAAAATACCATAAAACCTCAATTAATAGCCCAGGCTATTATTTGCTTAAATCACTGAAATCAACAGGCCTGTATTTGGGACAGTCCTTTAAATCCCTTTCACACAAAACTGTTGCTCAGCAAAGATCAGGAGATACAATCAAATTGTTTATTTAAACCAGTTTGAATATTATTTGGAATATGAATTACTTACAGGGTAATTGAGGATTGGACACACAATTTTAGGTAGCTAACAACCCAGTTTTATACATTTGAAGAACTTCTATAAAATACTTATAAAATAAAATATATATAAAAAATAGATTAAATTAAATAAAAAAAAACAAAACTTCTCCTTGGCAACCAGATCAGGCGTCTCATTGAGACAGGCCTGAATCTGTCTGGCTTTTAATTGCAGTTTTACAGTAAATAAATGAGCTTCAGGCTACCAGTGGACCTTGTGATGAGAAGGTTTAGTCAACTGCATCCAAGGTCAGGAACCATAGCCTATTTCTGGCTCATTTACTGGCTTGAACTTGTTAAGTTGTACATGAGCTGAAAAGTTGGTCAGTGTGTATCTTTCTGGCATATCTTATCCTGTTAAAGTTCACAAAATAACCCTATCTTATATCATAGCTGTACAAATATTGAATCTGTGTGGGATAAAAAGGTTAAATGGATTTGTCTCCAGCTGTGGAGTGTCCTGTTTTGACCACTAGGGAGCAGCGTTGTCAAGAGAAAAGTGAAGTTCATCCCAGGAGGAAATGCTTGGTTTTAATTTATCACTAAAGTCATGCTTGAAGCAATTCCCTGTCAGTCTGCAATTAGAGAATAAATACCACCCCACCATAATGACACTGCCTCTCATTATTGCCTATATTTATTATATATATTCAGAAAAATGTAGAATTCATGAGTTATTACTCTGAAAAAAAGAAAAAGTAAAGGAGAAGAAAAATGACAGAGGGTTTCCTAAGCATGCAGAATGTATGTGTCTTTAGTATCTTTGAAATATTATATCAGTGTGGACGTTTAATACAGGATGCACAAAGCCATTTTAAGAAGAAACTGAAAAGCATTTCCCTTAAAAAACAATTTATTGCTAAGGTCCTCTAGTGGCCTCGCTGAGGTGGACTGTAATTCAGACAGCCATCTGACTAGACATTTCAAACTGCGTGACGGTGGACCTGGTTTAACGTGACTGGGTGACCTCCAGATCAGTTTTCACCTCGTTGTACTCATAAACCATGTTAACAAACTCTGCTCAGACTAAAATAAGCTGACCAGAACAAAATGAACACCAAGGACATGTTATAGTTTATGGTCTTTGCAGTGCCTCTGTGTACAGTATGGATACTTTATGATCAGTTTGTCTTTAGTAAATTTTACTAATAGGTTTTTACACTAATATATATGTTAATGGGTCTACGGATGTGTTCAGGGAGAAATAATAATTGTTTTCCTTCACCAACTATACTGTTCATACTTTTAAAATAAAATTTGTACTGTATTTGTCATAAATGAGGTCCCCTAGTGGCCTGTATTGTGTTTTGCAGGCATTCTGACAACAGTCTGACCAGACATTTGAAGGTCCGACAGTCGTAACTGACTCATAAACTACATTAACAAACTTCTCAGACAAAGAAAGGCTGACACAGGACACAAAGAACACAAACATGTAATAGATTATCTTTGATTTTTAATTGGACATTATTTACAGGATATACATAGTGTTTCATTGAAACAAGAGTGTAACACTGGTGGGCAAAGCCCTCTTTGCTCCTGAGGTCAAGAGATGGCTGATGTACTCTCCAACCAAGATGTGCATAAAGAACATTTCACTGATTCTGGTTTGTGTTCAGGGGCCAAAAAGGAAACAAGACTGCTGCCGCTGGTATCAGTGGCTTCCACACGTAACACAGTTTTCACAGAATCAACACAGTAGGATAATTCAGTCAGTCTTAACAGAGATGAACAGTTAAAGCTCCTGCGTATTGGAGCCAATTCAATATCACAAATTCACCAGCTTGGGGTTTTTCACTTTTGTTTTACAGCTCCAATGCATTATTGTAAAAAAAAAAAAAAGGAAGTTCAAACAAAACAAAGCGTATATACAGTTGAACTCAATAGATATATATACATATATATATACATACAATATTATATAAATATAGTAAAATAGATTAAATTACATTGATTTCACGGTCTTCCATAAATAGATGTTGGACAATAACAGTATGGTGACGTGTTAAGTTAGTGTTGGAAGCACAGTGCACCGTCAGATGACAGGTTCACGACTCAACCGGAAAGAAGTCCGTGTCAAGCTATCAAGTTCTTCATTGTGAATCATTACCAAAGCAGAAAACTGCGCAACTGTACGCAAAAACACTCAGAGACAGATTCTCTCCTTAGCTTTGTTGTTGTTTGGTTGTCGGTGTTCAAGAGCACACCTGACTTCTAGTTTTTAGTTGTTTTTTTTTGCAAGTTTAACAGGTACATTACAACCACAGCATGTGGTCAGATTCAAAGTATTCTCCCATAAAGAAAAACATTTTAAGTTTCTCCCTCCCCTGAATGGGGAGGTGGAGCTGGAGTCTGGGTGGGCTCTAGCTCCTAAAGCAGTAGTGTCGTCGCTGCACACGCTATTCCAACAAGATCTTCAGCAGGTTATAAAGAGTAAATACAGTTTCAAGAGGGGTCTCTTGAGAATACTCTGCAGCTCCCAGTGTTGGGTTTGAAAAGGCAGGTTCTGTTGATTTATATTGTTTTACAAGGAAAGCTGACACTATAAGCAAGGTCACATAGCCTTGGTACGAATACTGAAAAGGCGGTGTAGTAGGCCTCGCCTGTGAAAACTTATATCTGTTTTTTTTTTCCACAAGTGTGCTGAACAGTAAGTGCTTTTCAATATACAAAGATGCTTTACAAATACATTTTTGGCAAAGTAAAAAAGGAAAAAAAAAATCAACAACAACAAATGTTGGAAGGAACTTCATCGTCCTTGAGGAGGATGAACTTTCAAGTGTGTTACCTCTCCTCAATGTTTGGGAGATTCGCGTACGTTACTCAGCAGGATTTGTTGTCGCTGAGCTCTAAGGTCACAGCCACACTCACGCACACATGACACCATACCTGAGTGTAAGCTGCATTTTGAACTCTACCACTATGTCATCTCTGATTTGAGGCACCTTCAAATATTTGTTTTCAGCTGTACCGTAACTACAAAAGAACGATAAAAATAAAAAAACGAGCAAAAAATGACGATGAAAAAAAGTTACAATAAAAAGAGGAAAAACAAGTAAAACACCATCTTTGTGGCCTATAAAAGCGTACTGTACAATGTTCGATACATTCTCTTGGAATGGCATGGTTTGTTGCTCAGGAAGTCAAAGCCGAGCATCAAGTGAGTTCTTGTGTTTTTTCTTCTTTTACAATAAGTTTCGTTGGTTTTGTTGGTTGCGCAATCGTAAGCAGTCTAGCGCCGAGAGCCTCCTCTCTCCTCGGCAGGCTGCAGCAGCAGAGGCGGAGCTTTAGTGTCCGTCAGGGTGTGTGTCTGGGCTGGCTGAGGTGTTGTGGATCCAGTCCAGGACAATGAGGCTCATGCTGCCGATCATGACCAAGAAGCCTAACAGAAGGAAGGCGGTGGCCTGTAGAGAAGAAACATTTCACATTAGTTAACACATTCACCCTCACAGACTTTTAGACGGAACTCGACAGTATGTGAATTCTGTAACTAGCTTTCTTGCCAAGAGTTTGATGAGGAGATCAATGTCATTCTCTTCTCTTTAGGTCCGATATGAGATGTTTAGCTTAGCTTAGCATGAGGAATTTGTACAGATTAAACAAAGCTAAAACATGTTAATCAGCTAGCCTGAGAGATACTAGGTAGATTTTGCCCAACGTTTTCAGTTTGTATGCTAAGCTAACAGGCTGCTAGCTACATCTTCATGCTGATCAAACAAATATGGAAGAGGTGTCAGTCTCTGATCTAACTCTAACAAAATGTTGCACTATTGCGTCAAAAGTCTAAAAAGCTTAGAAATGGCAGTAGATGTAAGAACTAACTCCTTACCCCGATCTTTTGCATGGACTTCATGGACTCCTTCTTGACCAGTTTGATGTAGAAAGCCGAGGGCAGGATGAAGATGAGCATGGCAGCAGCAGAGGCACCTGCGTGAGGGAAGACATTTGGCATGTCAGTCACATTTTGTATTTGTAGATGCTTTCATAGCATTATCACACACATTAACACACAGACACCCACCGATGAAGCCAAAGATGTCCCTGATGGTGGGCACAAAGATGACCAGGGCGTTGGTGCCGGCCAGCAGGACCATGGTGATGATGGTGTGGCGGATCCAGCTGAAGTCCTTAGAGGCGCACAGGAGCTGGTTGACGGAGGTGCGAATCTACGCAGAGAGAGACAGATGGAGAGGTTATTCTACGTGACCCACTAACACACTGCAGTGATAATAAGATTAGCTGGATCCTTTTGACACTTACAGGGAAAAGCACCACAGGGACGGTGAGGGTGACGGCGGTCAGAACAGCCAGACGGACGATCAGCAGGATCACATCAGCCTTGTAGATCTTGGAGTAGGTGTGCAGCAGCTCAGGCTCCACATGCACTGTGTAAAGAGACAGCAGAGACACTTTAGACCTGAAGCCCATGTCACAAATGCACATTTATAAAGAAATGCATTAGGATCAAGTTAAAAGTTTGCCTCAGTAGAAACGAAGCTGGCAAACCCCGACAAACGTCACTGTGATTTCTCAATCTCTACTTGGCCTGGCTCAAACTGTGCACCGCCCCACATCAGGCTCTGTCCTGCCACAATGGTTTTGAGGAAGTCTTTCTCCCTATCAAACTCTTACATAACCAGTTTGATGTTCCAGGAACATCTTTGTTCTTTCACTCAGATGTTCCTGCCATGACAAACACGAACACAAACATGGTGGTGCGCTGATCAGCTGCGGCAGGTGGGTTTTTTCACACTCTTACGTAACAGGCCTTGAGTCCTGTGCATTTTGCTCCATTGGGGAAAGTCACTATTTAATTTGGACCTGGAAGCGTCTTCTCTTAACTTTGTATGATCGATCCCCTCCGACAATGACTATCTAGGACGTTGACCGCTTGTGAACCAACACTGACACCATTAACTCTTTGTTGCTTTCTAGTCATCTGTCCCTGAAAAGTTTTGGCATGGTTTTGGTGCCATAGTGATGCCAAATTTCAGGTGGATTACGGAATCAACTACATGCCAAAACTGTCCTAGCGTAGCAATAATTAAAAAAAAAAAATCACACATAAGGGGAAAATATCAAAAGATCAAATTTGCACATATTGTTTTGGGGGGAGGGGTAGGGAGCCAAATGTGCTTCATCCGGCACTGAGGTTATATATTCATGCCTTTAGTTTTTCACCTGTCCAAGAGACTCACCGTTGAAGGTCAGATATCCGAAAAGAGCGGCCAGCAGGTACATGATGAACATAGCCAGGAAGGACACATTAGCAACGCCCTGCATCTTTTGGCGGGAGCGGCTGTTTTGGCGGGAGAAGACAGGATGTTTTAGTTTTCATGTAAATGTGAGATAAACTCATGAGGTTCAAACATGATAAGAAAGCAGCTGCGGTTTGTAGTCTGGGTGATTAAATAAAGGAAGCAGTGTGCACTCACTCTTTAAGCTCCTCGTACATGGGCAGGATGGCAGGGTGGCACACGAAGGCGAAGGTCAGGATGGGAACAGCGTAGACCGTCTAGAAAAAAACGACAACAAATTCAACATTTACGCACAAATATTTCACAAGATTTTTGTTTTTCTTCCAAAATCAAATCTTTCAGATGTTTTGTGTCTAAAAGAGATTCACCTGAGAGTTGAAGACAAAGTATTTCGGCGTGCAAGCGTCCTCGCTGTAGTCCACAGCAGTGGTGTTCAGGTGTGACAGGGTGGTGTTCAGCACTTTGCTTATTGTTTCGTTCAGAGCGTTGACGTCCTCAGGGAGAGGGCACGGTATCTGGAACTTCTTGATGATCACCTGGAGGACAAGAAAGCATATTTTAGCCAAAATTAGCCTATGTCTTGGGGCTGATATATAGTAGATCTTTAATTGTGTCTAATGTTGTTTGTTGAACAGTTGAACAAGAGCCTGACTGAAACCTCATCACTGTGAGAACTCAGTGGAAAAAAAACAATATGTGAAACCAGATCTTAACAGATAACGATGTTGCAACCGTTGTACGTGTTTCCTTAAGTTGAAGTGTTAACTGACTCCAGTATTTCCAAGTAAGTAAATGTGCTTGGGAGGGAGGGGAGCACCGGATTCCAAAACTGTTTCCTTGCGCAACAGGCTGGCTCATGTGCCAAAGACGGTGTGCAGGAAATACTTCTGTGTTTTGTGTGTGATGAGGAAGCAGGTGGGTTTTACTCACCACAATCAGAAAGAACACCATACAGAGCAGGGACAGCCCACTGGTGTAACCAAGGTAACCTGAGGGGGGGGGCAAAACAGAAACATGAGCAACTGTTTTCTTGTTTGTTTGTTTTTTTTACCATTTGTTTCTATTTAAAAGATGCAGAAAGCTCATGTGCTCTCGTTTTATGACTTCACTCTGAGTTGTAGACATTGTGAGACTTGATGAAATCTTGCACACATGTGCAAGTGTGTCATGCGCCCTGACCAACTCTGTGTAGAAATCCATCCGATTTTATAACACAGACACACACACACGCTGCTTACTTACCCAAGTTCCTGAGCAGTGACAGGGGCAGGATAATGACAAGCGTCACCAGCAGCACGAGGTAATCACCGTTAGTGTACCATTCTCTAAAACACAAAAGGACAGAACAAGGACATGTTAGTCATACTGTTCAAGTCTTTATTTAGTTTTATCACTATGTAAATGTCATATTAAAGGGGCATTCCACCTTTTTTTGCTTCCTGTTTTTATATAGATTCGATACATTTTACAAAGTTCAGAACAGGTGGGCTATTTTCAATGTTTGCAAGCTTTACTGTGTAATGTAAATGATACATCATAAATACTTTGACATTTATTCTCCCATGCATACTCTCCTAATTTTAACATCAGAACAACTTCAAATCTTCAAAGTATCATTTTACCCTGCATAGAAACAAAAATATTATAACATATTTATTTAATTTTATTCAGGAATGGTTGGCAGTATAAAAGATTAGAAAATAAGTTTTATTTTTGTCATCTTTTTTAAGACACACCAATATTTTTGACATGTATATTTTGTCTTTGTTTCAGGCTTACTTCAGGTTTTACAGTATGTATATATAAGGTAGCTTTGATCACATATGCAGTCATCTTTTTCCGAGCTGAAGCCAGCAGCAACCTAATTAGCACTAAAATCGACTACTCTGTGCAGAAAGCATCGCATTAAATCCACTTCTCTGTCACAACTCTCTTTTACATCTTCAGGCCTGATCAAACCTCTCCAACATCTGCATGTCAGCTGACACAAACCAGCCTGTGCGGGATGACTGCATCGCTCCCAGAAATAGATTTAACAAAGCAGCACTTAGGAGCCTGACCACATCAATTTTTTAAACTTGAAGCGAGGTCGCAGTGAGCTCATGCCGCGCTCCGTCTCCATGCGGCACCGGCTGCATCTTCTAAAAGGGCTCTTTGAAGGGCTGCTTGGATAGACTGAGCACTGTCCGTCCCTTTAAAATGTCCAGCCCCCCCCCTCCACTTTCCCGTCCAACAGAGGGACAAAGACGCTGCTTCCCCTTCTCCACCGCTCAGCACTTCAAAAACAACTGGCAGCCATTTTGCTGGATGTGGCACTTCACCTCGAGTGGTTCTGCCAGGCCTTACTGCTTCTCTAACACCTTATTAGTGTGTGTGCGTTTGGGTATGTGTGTACTAGAACACACCGTTTTCCACCAGTATTATATACCAGTATGGAATTCTGACCCCGGGAGTACCCCTTTTGGGAAGACTGTATTGACATTTGGTTAATAGTTATGGCAGATAAACTGCTGAAATGGTCTGATGGTCAGATCTGAATCCCTACCAAAATCTATAGCTGCTGGCTGGAGGCCGATCTGGCCGATCAACTCACCAGTTTCTTGGAAATCTTGTCAGAATTGTTGGAGAGTTCAGAACCTCCATTAGAGGGTCATCAAACTTTATTTTGATTCACACTGGGATTTTTTTGTACTTCTAATGTAAATAAGGTGCCATAGTGCATTGAAAGGTATCAAATAGAGCCTGTTTATCAATTAAGTGCCAGGAGCTGACCCCCCCTGACAGAAGTCCAGGCTACGTGCCGAATGTCCTCAAATTCTAGAAGTGCCCCTGTGTTCACCTGACCAGTGCAGAGCTGCTGCAACTGGCCCCTGGCCTCCTGTCATTTTCAAAAGTAGCCCCCAGGCAAAGCAAGTTGAGTTTCCCTTCCCTAGATGATTTATCTTATTAGGATGCTGAAAATTAAAGCTACCCCATGGACTTTTTGACCACTAGTAGTGCTGTGGAGCAATGTTTTTATGAGGTGGACCCTGTCATATAAACATAACTTTTGTTTGTTTTCAGGAAAACTCAACAGGGTGCCTTTAAAACAGTCAGTTCAGCCACACCACTTAAAACACACTGCTGTTTTCCACTTTCCAAGACCTGCACATGGTCAAATGTATTTTCTGGGTCTGAAGCTAATAAAATATTTGGTCACTCACCCATTGCTGTTTCCCATAAAAGACTGAATGACGATGGGCAGCTCGTATTTGACGATGTAGAGGTAGCTTGACATGGCTGTGAGGACAAAAACAGCAGTTAGTTTATTTCCCTGTAAAATAAGCCAAGTCATGCCCATGTGAGGAACTCCATTACAGAAATAGTGATGTCTAATATTTGGCGAGGGGCTGAGTTGCTCCAGCGGATAAAAAAAAGTTCGACACATGCTTGTAGAATGACTCAAGTTTTTACTGGAAGCGACTCTACATTCCAGGAAAGGAAGAAAAAAAATGTTTCCACTGAGCCAGGATTTCTGTTTTCCCTCATTTTTTTCCAATGCAGTCAGTTTAGACACAGAGGGACAGTGTTGTAGCTCGTGGAATAAACACAGGGTGGATAAATGTGGAAAAGTAGTTCAATTATAGTTGTGTAACACTCCTGAAAAGAAACAATTCTTTGCTGTTAAAATGCCACAGTCTCTCACCTCCAATGTTCTGCATGGTGATGGAGCAGGAAGCGGCGAGTTTCCCCGGCATCCCGAAGGCTTTGTAACCCAGCTGCTCGTACACCAGTGCACCTTAGGAGAAGAAATGCACAAAGACAGGAAGATTTAGCATCCAAATAAAACAAAAAACATCAAGTAGCCAGTTTGGGGACATGACTATCTGACAGACTCACCTCCTTCGTTGGCAGTCTTCAGCAGCAAGTGGACAGAATACAAGGAGAAGATTGCGACGGCCACGAGGAGAATCCTGTGAACAGATGAAACGGATCTTTAGCTGAATGTTGACAGAAATTACACGGCAAAACAGCAAAATCGATGACTAACAGCTCCTGGTCGATGTGAAAATGCTTCGCTGTTACATGTTTCAATCTTTAGAATGAACACTTGTATTGAACAAGGGGATTTTAAGGCCAATTTGACAATGACATTTAGTTAATGTGAAAGTCAGACACTCCTCTGCTGGAAGTGCAGAAGATGTCCTACACCGATGTCCACTTGTAATGACGCAAATCGGATGTCTTATGGGAGAACCTGTCAGCAGGACAAGATGATTTCATACATTTCTGCTTGTCTTAAGAACTTGAAGTTTGTCAAGATACTGATATTCCTTTCAATTAAAACAGGAAAAATGCCACTGAAAAAAATCCAATGACATTTTCTGCTTTAAAGAAAGTGTCAGCACTCAGAGAACTGTGACCCTGATGTGACAAAAAACTGCATTTGCTCACATTTTGTCAGCCTGATCAGCAAAGACCCTGAATGCAGCATCAGTCTACAAGGGCTATGAATCACGAGCTGCAGGGCCGCAGAGAACAAAAGGTTTCCCCTGCACGGGATCCTCTTAGCACCCTTGGGATGCTGCCAAGCCAGCAATATGTACCTGTGTATTAATAGTCCAGGTGAAAATTAATCTCCAGACCATTTGAGAAGCCTGTACAGTGTTTCCTCCTAGCATATGACCATCCAGCTGCTTTAAGCCTCTGGCTGGCTGCTCGCCTCCCCGCCTTCATATCTAATCGCTTTAAACGCTGCAACTCAACAAATATATGCTTTGGATGACCTTTTATAGAGAGTCAGTTTGTTCTGCAGGAGCTTACTTAACTTCAAGTGCTGATGTGAAGAGCTCCAGACAGCGTTACGAAATCCAAACAGACATGCTATCGTCCAATCATAAAGAGGTTCTGGTAACTTCCTGCAGATGCACGGCTCTGACTGGTCAGGAGCGGGCTGACAGTGAGCCACACCGTGCTCCATTCATGATCTCGTGGGAGCGTACGTTGGCTCTCAGTTTATGTAACTCTTTACAGGATTAACTCAGCTAAGCTGCTTCTGCTGCCACTCCCTGTGTTTGTAAACTGACATACAACTGCCATTTAGTGGCACCCAAAGTGATCTAGTCACCCACTGTGAGTATACACATTCATGTTCTGACAGTGTTACAGGAAAAAGACACTTGACTGGTTTTTCTTGAGCTGGTTTCTACCTCCTGAGTGTGTCAGCTTGTGTCTCAGAGACTGGAAATAAAAGGCTCAGAGATGTAGACACCGAGACCTGACACACTATTGACAAATGAAGGAATTCAGATAACAACTGACATGAAAGCAGTTTAAAATTCCTCACATAAGCTGCAAAAATGTTAACAATTTTTAGGTATTGTGGTCTGAAATTGCTCCGGATGACCAGTAGGGGGAGCTCTCATGAACACAAACGATTTATCTCAAGGAGAGCTATAAATTTTTTCCCACTAAAATCAGTTTTATCTTCTGCAACCATGATAACAAGTACTTAAACTAGAGTGATGGGCATTTGTAAACTTTCAATATGAGTGTAATCTGTTGCTCAGGGTCGAGTGGCTGCAGAGCAAACACACACCCACACACCCACTGCAGCCAGGGGGGATGCGGAGGCTCAGAACATCATGACCTGCAACCTTGACACTAAAGACAAAACCACACCTGCTCCTATTTGCCTCAGCTGGGTCCAGATCATAAAACAAAACCGTGCCCACGCTAACTTGTGGTTTCCCTTCACTGTACACCTCAACCTCAACTGTGTGGTTACCTCAAGTTTCTACCTGTCTTTGATGCCTGCAGTTGGTTTTGTCTTGGTATTACCACCTTCTACCCTCCCTTTCAAAATGAGGACAGTAAGTGATAAAAACTTACACAAACAGGGCGATGCCAGTGTTGGCCATAGCGTAGGACAGACCCAGGATGCCACTGCCCATGATGGCGTTGCCCAGGTTGAAGACGGACATGCCAAAGGAAGCATTGCCCTGGTGCTGTAGGGAAATTAATAATTCACAGTTAGGGAATTCGAAAAACATGACACGTGTGATCAAAGATAATAAATATGCTGAAGGATCAGAAAGGCTCTTACATATTCAGTCTCATACTTCTTCTTGCCCAGGTTGTGTTCAGGGAGGAAGTTTTGACTCTCTGCTTCTATGTCAGAGTATTGGCTTTAAAAGAGAAGAGAGGGCTTTAGAAAATGTGTGCACAGGGGGAACAGTTTGTACTTTAAAATATTTTTATTCTAATATAATTTATATATTTTGTAGCCAGTCTCACCCGCCCAGTGGGACCTTCTTGGGACAGTCCTGGTACGTGTACTCGTTGCTGTTGGTGCTGCTGCTGTCGTCCTCAGGAGAGATGTTGAAACGGCTCATCTCAGTTTTGGCAGTAGGCTGTTTCATGCTGTTCATTAAAGAGCAGAAAAAAAATATTTATTTATTTTTGCGCATTTGTAATTTCTGCGTCACGCGCACAGCGCTACTGCATTTTTTTCCGCATTTTTTTTTATTTCCAGTGCGCGTTCACGCTCCCTTGGAATAATCAATATTATAGTGAGCGGAGCGCGCCCCACAGCTCATGAATCTCGGATCATGTGACTTTTCTTTAGCGTGAGGGAGGAGGGAGGGAGAAAGGAGGGGGGAGTGACGCACCAGCAGTGGAAAAATACCAGACCGGCATCCGAGTCCACCCGACATCACCTCAGCCTCGCTGTATAGACGCTGAATGACAAAAAAAAAAAAAAGCCGCAGTACGCGCCGCTGACTTTGAGCACATTTCCCTCCGAAATCATTTGAAAAGTGTAATGTCAACAGGGTGTGTCCGCGTCTTTATCCTCACCCAGAGCAGCCTTTAATCATTATTGCATCAGACAGAGATGTCAATAAGGCAAAACGTGGATATTATAAATCTGACATTCTGATTTAAAATCATATTTTTATCCTGACTAACTGTTGCGCACATGGAGACCCACACAGAGCGCAAAAGGCGTCATCCCAGATCTCTTTAATTACATTATTTCCTTCGCCGGCTCTGATGGAAACAATGGCACGTGTTGTGCCTTTATGGGCAGATATGGCTCTCCATTTGGCGCAGAGGCTCGCGCTCTGATTCACACTCGCTTTCTAAATAAAGACTTCTTCAGATTAAACACAGAGGAAGATTGACAGTATTTCCTTTTCAACCTGCCTGTGTTTTTGTACCTGTGTGGCCGTGACAGCCGTTTGCCACCCCCAGACACTAGTCCAGCACTGCAGCATCACTGTCACACTGCTTCATTATTTATTTATTTATTTGGAACCAGGGCTGACCTGGTAAGAAATAACGCCTCGGGCCTCTCAGAAAGGACATTTTTGGCTCTTTAGAAAGAGATCCACACAGCTAATATGACAGGAAATAGTTTTAATAGTGACTAATTAGCCCAAAAGAGATGGCAGCGCATCTGATTTTAATTATATAATATTTAAAATGCGTATAAAAGACATATATAGAGGTAGGCTATTTAAAAAGCAAACCAAAAGGTGTGCCAAACAAAAGATTACAATCATCTTTCAAACAGTGCGACGCCAACATCCGGTAATTCTCTAACAGACGGTCGGTAAATGATGAAATGCCGGCATTCTTACCTTGTGAAGATGTGGCAGGATGCCTGTAAAATCCGTTCAGTAAAAACAAAATAGAAGCAGCAAATGTCCGGACGATTTCTTCACCAAATTCAACTGATCCTTGAGTGTATTTAGACTGAATATAAATAAATTTGAAAATGAATGGACAGGCCGATTACAGACAGGGTCTGAGTCAAAATACCAGCTTAACCAGTTCAAGTCAAGAGATAATAAAAGACACTCAGAATAAAACCGTGACGCGTAAAATCACAAGAATTTTAGATTTACGTCTAATTCAAGAAAATTCCCAGAGACGCGATGCGCTCGGAGAGAAAACGCTGTTCTGCTGGAGGAGGGGTGGGGACTCACCCTTTTATAAAGATGAGCATTGCATCAGCCCGGACCTACGGGAAGGAAGGAGGGGGGTGAGACAGAGAGAGTAGCAGGAAGAACGGGGAGGAGCGTTTGGATGGAGGAGGTGGAGACTTTTTACGCACAGGCCGTGACGTGTTTTTGTATACAAACAGAGCAGTGACCTAGAGACTCTCCCCTGGAAAACCACAGGAATCCTCTAGTACAACTTACAATAGATAGTTATCAAAGAATGTCGGTTATATACTACAATAGTACTATTAAAATGTCCTTCAGTATTGTGTAATGTTCCACAGACTCCTGGGATCACTATGAGATCATACAAGGTCACCTAATGATAATTAAAGGACACACTGTAACCCTGTCACATGAGCTCACCCTTTCATTAACACCACCTGCCATGCTCATTTGTCCATGTTCATTTCTATTGTTTTTAACTGGATGTTATGTAACACTAATAATTATTTAAAGAGATTTCAATGACTGGAAACTGCAGATGTGACTGAGAATCACTATGTATGGCGTATAACAGGACACTGCTGTGTTTTATAAAACAGAATGAGGTGAGCCCCCCCGCCGCTGGACAACCTCTGTGGACTAAATTAAGGTGAAGTGGACTCACAGGGTTCTGCTGTCCCTCCACATCAGGCTGTGACCGGAGCTTCAAAGCAGACCTCCCTGTCTGAAGGAGATTACACACAATCACTGTCATGTGATGGCGGCCATCCTGATCCTTATTCATGCTGGTCAGGTGTGTATGTGTGTGTGTGTGGGGGAGAGATGGGGGGGGGAGTGAAGTCTTCCGCTGCTTTGGTTTCCAGTTTAATATTAGTACTGGGATGACTAAAAGCTGTAGTGTGTTCACTGTCAGTGTGAACTTTGACTCCTCAGATATGACAAATATAACACCACCGGCTGATGCAACTGCTGCTAATACTACACCTTACTACTGATACCGGGACTTATTCTGAGTCTGAGAGATACAACACTGCAGCTCTCCTCGCCAGACTACCACTACTACTATACTTGTACTGCTGCAGCTGCTGCTACCACCAGACTGCCACACAGTTCTGCCAAAACAGACTACTTTTACTAATACTAACCACTACACCTACTCAGTTAGCAGTGGCACGTATAAAGACAGCAGTAGTAGCACAAGTAACAGAAGTAGAGTGAGTAAAGGTAGCAGTAGTACAAGTACTCAAAGTACCACATGTAGCAGTGCAAGTAGTAGTCAATGAAGTACTGGAAGTAGTATGAGTAAAGGGAGTAGTAGAGGTGCAAGTACTAGAGGTAGTAGTAAGTAGTACAAGCACCAGCAGTACTACATGCAGTACTACTTGTATTACTGTTACTACTACTACAACTACAAGTAATACTTGTACAAGTACTACTTCTGCTTGCATTGCTACGCGCAGTACCTCTAGTAATGTACTACTTCTGATACATGTACTACTGCTAGTACCTTTCCTCATACTACTTTAGTACTTGTATGTCTACTACTTGCACTAATAGCACTTCTGGTACTTGCACTACTGCTAGCCTACTACCTCTAGTACTTGTAATACTACTACTACACAATTCTTACTACTACTTCTAATACAGTTCTACTGCTATTACTTTCACTACTACATGCAGTACTTGCAGTACTTGTACTACTACTTCTAGTACTTGTACTACTACTTTCTTTACTCATACTACTGATACTTGTATTACTGCTACTACTTCTACTCCCTTTACTCATACTACTTCAAGTACTTGTAGTACTACTACTTCTACTTGCACTCCTACATATAATACTTGTAGTAATTTGCTACTTCTAGTACTTGTACTACTACTTTCTTTACTCATACTACTTCTCATACTTGTACCACTACTACTTCTACTGGTACTATTACATGTAGTGGTTATTGTAATTTACTATTTGTTGTAATTGTACTACAACTACAACCTTGACTCATACTACTTCTTGTACCTGTATAATTACTATTTGTATGACTACATGTAGTGTTTCTGGTGCTTGTACTACTCCTACTACCACTAGTGTTTATACAACTGCTGCTACTACTACTCCCTTTACTCATACTACTTCTTCAAGTACTTCTATGGTTACTACTTGCACTGCTATATGTAGTACTTCAAGTACTTGTAGTACTGCTGCTTCTACTTGCACTTATAATTATAGTACCTCTAGTAATTTACTTCTAGTACTTGTACTACAACTATAACCTTTATTCATATTACTGCTAGCACAACCACTATGTGCACTACTACATGTAGTGCTTCTGGTGCTTGTACTACTACAGCCACAACTGCTACTTCTACTCCCTTATTTATACTACTTCCAATGACTACTACTTGCACTTCTACATGTAGTACCTCAAGTACTTGTACCACTACATGTATTACTTCCTGTACTTGTACTACTGCTACCTTTGTTCACACTACCTCTGGTACTTGTACTACTACCTTTTCACTTTGTAGTACATATACTTGTCAGAGTCAGAGGTCAGATACAGAGTTGAGTACGAAACACTTCAGGTGGGTGTTGGTTCAAACCTGACTCCAGTCACTGACTGACCTCAAATGAAGAGTTAAAGCTGTTGCATATTAAAGAATGACACACAGTCAAGTGTGTGAAGTCAGTGATCCGAGTCTGTCTCAGCTGGAGGTGAACAGCTGGCAGCTGACAGTGAAAAGATCATTCTTCTCTGACACATTACACAGCATCATTACGTCTTTACATGCTGAACTGCTGCACAAAATGTCCACGGTCTTGCCACCATTCAGGCTCTGTGATCATGTGACACGAGTTCAAATTACACACCGCAAAGAGGGAACAGTTCTCTTCCATGATGAGGCAAGTTTTGGATATAAACAAAGGTGCACTGTTGACTTACAGAAAATTCATATTTTTTTTGTAAAGGCAAACTATTTCCTCTTCATTTTTCCTCGAGGAACATGCAAAACTAAACCAGAACAGCTGGTTCTGCTTGTTGGTGGAGAGTAAACAACGCTACTCTAATGTAGCGACTGTCGTTCATTTGTTGTGCACAGAGCTCACTTGCATTAAATAGTTTGCTCTAACTAGGGAACATTTTTGTCATCTAAAAATAATATTAATAATAATATTAATTTAAAAATCCTTTTGGTTATAATACAGGTCATTCAGTTGGTGCAGTGCCCAGATGAAGGAATGAGATACACTTTTAATGTTCTCAGCGTTACCAAAAAAAGAAATGCTAAATATTTAAACTCACGTACAACTCTTCAAATTCACACACAATGTCCAGGTAAATGCAGGTATCACTGACTCATGGCACATGACCTGTAACCGTATACGGTAAGAAGAGACGACGAACACAAAACAAACACAAAAAGACAGACTCAGATATCAAAACTTGGCAAACAGAAATGAATAATTCAACACATTCATGAGTGAAAGGACACTTGTGTTGATTCTCTCACTCACTGTTCCTCATAAGCTCTCTGTCGCACGCACACAAACACACGCTTTGTGCATTCCTCTGCCCTCAGTCACACATGAGTACGTTAGTGTGTGGCTCTCTGTGTACGAGCCTTTGTTTGGGGCTTTAGCTCGACCCAGCACATCTAAGACGGATCAGGAAACTGGAGCAGGGGCAAGGGGTGCGGAAGGGGACGCAGTCGGAACACCGGTGCCCTTTTATCCCCATCCACACACATATACACAGGCAGAGGTAGATTTGGGTATCAAGTAATTTCAAGTCAAAAGGCTCCATGTCCAGGTGAAGTCACGAGTCAAGTTGCAAATCAAGTTGTCAAGTTGAGTTTAAAGTCAGTAAATTTTTGATTCACATCTGACTTGTGTCCACACCTCTGACTACATGTATACACAACATTTAATCTGATGTGGTCCAGTGAAAGGTGCACAGTCAGACAGGTGAAAGTGGGCGGGGTCACAAAGGTTGTCAAGGGTGCGTTCAAATACGGAAAAAGTGAATGGAGGGCAAAACAAGCTGGCTAACACCAAAACTACTCCTCCCATCAGTGCAACTGTACTCCCAGTCCTTTTAGCACTTCTATTGCTACAACGTTGCTGTTTCTATTGGACCGCGCCCCCCTACTAATACTTACTACAACTTCAATTGCTGCTGCAGTTGCTACATTTAGTGCAGACTTTGTCATGTGGCGCACCACAAGTACATCGAGAGCCGATTCTGAGAAGTTTAAGAAACAAGGCTCTCACTGTAACACTGTCTGCACTGCAGCAAAAATGAGCTGCCTCTGTCTGCGAGGCCACAACAATAGCACTCACTAAACTCGTATGGGTGTGTGCATGTGTGTGTTTGTGTGTGTGTTTAGGCTTGCCTCCAAACAATGCGAGTGGAATTTGTCTGCACACACCTTTGCAGAAAATGATGGTGAGTGTCAATGCTTTGGCCATTTTCTCAGGTGTCTTTCTTTCAGTTGAGGCAAAATAAGACACATCCTGTTTCTGTAAAAAGAGACACCACAGAGGTTTCTCGAGAATGAGGACATTAAAAACACGGAAATTAAAGCCTAGACCACAGGTACATGTGTGTTTGTGAGAACAGGGGTTTTCCCTGTTAGTTCTTTTCCATCACAAACACTGCTTTAAAGAGATCTCCATCTAAATGAAAACACTAAAACACGATTGAAGCACTGTCAAGAGCATGTCAGACTCACCCAGTCTGCTAAACAGTACAGTGTGCATGCAACTTTTTTGCCAACATAGACAGACAATCTCATTACAGCTGTTTGCCCTTCAATGTGCAGTCAAAACAGCTCACTTAAAGACAACAGTCATACCCTTGACATACAGAAGTTTTCTCACAATTTTCATCAACAACCACTTTGTACTTAAAGTTGTCCCACCAACTTGAGGTCTGACTGGATCTCTGATCTGGATCTGGGTGGCATGGGAGTTTTGGATTATGCAGCAGTGACCTCTGTAGTGCACTCTGACGCCTCTGTTCCTCATTATAGCGGA